TATGCACATGTATGAATATATGTATACATGCGTGTATATATGCTTGCATGCATGCATGTCTGTCTGTATGTCAGTATGTATACATGTGTGTATATATACGTGTATGTATTTTTTCGTGCATGCATGCATGCATGTATGTATGTATGTCTGTGTGCATGCATGTATGTATGAATGCATGTCTGTGTGCATGCATGCATGTATTTATGTATGTATGTATGTAAGTAAGTATGTGTTTATGTTTGTATGTATGTATGTATGTATGTGTTTATGTTTATATGTGTGTATGCATGTATGTATGTATGTACGTGTGTAAGTATGTATGTATATATGTGTTTATGTTTGTAAGTATGTATGTATGTATGTATATATTTATGTTTGAATGTTTGTATGTATGTATGTATGTATGTATGTGTGCTTGCATATATGCACGTATGCATGTAAGTATGTGTGTATGTATGTATGTAAGTATGTGTGCATGTATGTATGTGCATGCATGTATACGTGTATGTATGTGTGCTTGCATGCATGTCTGAATGTATACATGTATGTAAGCATACACGTGTGTATATGTGCGTGCATGCATGTATGTATGTATTTATGTAAGGATGTATATATGCATGCATATGTATGTATTCGTTCATGCATTCATGTTTTTATGCATGTATTTATGTATGTATGTAAGTAAGTAAGTATGTATGTGTTTATGTTTGTTTGTTTGTATGTTTGTATGTGTTTTATGTTTGTATATGTGTATGTATGTATGTACGTGTGCATGTATGCATGCACGCATGCATGTATGCATGCATGTATATGTGTATGTATGTATGTGCATGCATACATGCATGTATTCATGTATGTTTATGTATATGTATGTATGCATGCATGTCTGTCTGTATGTATACATGTATGTATATTTGCGTTTATGCTTGCATATATGCATGCATGCATGTATGTATGTATGTATGTATTTACGTATGTGTTTATGTATGTATGCTTGCATGTATTTATGTATGTATACATGTATGTATGTATGTATGTATGCATGTATGTATGTATGCATGTATACATGTATACATGTATGTATTTATACATGCATTTATATGTGCGTTCATGCATATATGCATGCATGTATATATATATGTATGTATGTATATATGTATGTTTGTATTTACGTATGTGTTTATGTATGTATGTAAGTAGGTATATATTTATTGTCGTATGTATGAATGTATGTATGTATGGGTAACAATGTATGTACCTAAGGTATGGCTTCAATAGCCGTTGTAGTAGTTTTAGGAGGATCAATAGGGTCCGCCGCTACACCCGGCCTGTTCGTCCGATATTCGCGGACTGTAAGCCACGGGACGATCACGAGTTTTAGTTTAATGTACTTGTGGACGTTCTTTTACTCGATGGTGAATACTTTTGCTATCTTGCCGCTGCTAGTGGGTCATACGCAGGTGTATCGAGTATTTCTTTATACACAATTCCAAGCACCCCAGGGTATTTTGCAAGATGAAATATACTCGCTACTTGAGGAGAAATTCGGGACAGCTGGCGACGTTGTAATGTATGCGGATAACAAACGTCCGCGGCCGACGCACATACTACACGAAACCAGTTATGGAGCACCTGCTCGGGCTTGAGACATCGTCATTGACAACCCCATCGTGCTGGCGTCGGGTGTCAGCCCAGTGGTGTCGGTGGCCGTCCACGAGAAGTATATGCACGTATCCAAAATCATTCTCCGGAACAAGGTGATCTATCTATGTATGTATGTGTGTATGTTTGTTTATTTGTATGAATATATATATGTATATATGTATACTTGTTTGTATATATGTATGTATGTGTGTCTGTGTGAGTAGTTTTTCCGTTAGCCCATAGCTGCATCATAGTGGGGAAGTTATCATGTAGAAGAATGAATATCCCACTTAATTGATTTAGATACTACTATTTGCGTTAGATGCATAAACACTACACCTACGCATTACTTATACATATGTTGTCTTGTGAAGTTGTGATTTCTAAAATAGTCGGCGTGTTTATTTATTTTTGTTTATTACTTTTAGAAGATTTTTTATCACCGAAAGCGTAGCTGTAGAGTCCCTATTTCTTTTATTGAACTTGAAATCTGTCTGGAACGCTTTCCCCCCATTTGTTGGCCCCCAAGAGGCCCACGAGGGATCCTAAATGTAATTTTGTTTCAAAAATTAGAGCATACTTTTGTGGGTCCGATATTGTCGGCTGAAAAGAAAAGTTGTTGTATAAAAAAAGGCAGGGCTTTCCCGACGCCCCCGTGGGTGAGTGTGTTTATGTGTGAGCGCGTGTGACTGAACAGTAAATACGTATTTGTGTGTGTTGAGTGAAAGTGAGGGAGAAAGGGTCCATCAAGAAATCTCAGTATCTCACCCTCAGCCCACCCTGTGCGGATATATTCACAAGTTATTAGCTACCCACTTAGGAGAGGCGCTTTTGGTCTCTGAGGCGCCCCAGTCGTGTTTTATTTAATTTTCTATAAAAATCAAATTTTGCCATTTGTCACTTTGTATATTTTTCAAAAACAAAAGGGGGCCCTCACTCCTCAGGCCTCAGTTGTGGTCCCAGACTCCCAGGGCCAGGGGTCTCAGCGACCCAGCCTTCTAATATTTCTCATGGACAGCGAATACGAACCTTGTCAAGCGAATTTGGTCATAATTTTTTCTTATGGATTTTCAGATTCTCATGCTGAAAACAATGCCTAATACCCCGACCGTATTATTTAACGTTAGCTTCTGGCTGACCTCAGGCCACGGCCCGCGGGGAAGAATGCCTTGTGTCCAGTTGTCCAAAAAATATTCTGGACGTCCAGGCAAAGAAATACCTGTCCATTTAACAACCCTGCTGACGAGTGATTAGTAGCGGACCACAGGTGACGTACTTCTTTGTCCAGTTGTCCAGAAAATATTCTGGACGTCCAGGCAAAGAAATTCCTGTCCACTTGAAACAGCCCTGCTGACGAGTGATTAGCAACGGGCCACAGGTGACGTATTGCTTTGTCCAGTTGTCCAGAAAATATTTTGGACGTCCGGAATAATAATTTCTTGTTGGCTTGTGAGTAATGTGACCTTGTGTCTTGTGACCACTTTGTCAGCCCTGGTGACGAAAGTGACGGGTCGGGCCACGGATGACGTGTTGCTCTGTCCAGTTGTCCAAAAATATTTTGGACGTCCGGACAGAGAAATTCCTGTCCACTAATAGCAGCCCTGCTGTGCTGTCTGCTGACGGGCCACTGGTCAACAGCCTAACAGGCCACAGCCCACGGGCCACGAGCCACAGGATATCATTGCTGTTTGTACTATTTTTAAATTTTTATTATTAATATTATATATTTGTCACTCTATGTTGTACATTCTATGTCAATTCGACGTGCCCTGGTATCAAACTAACAAATGCATATTTTTACATGCCTAGTTACATACATCTTGCAAGAAGGTGTACAAAAAAAAAAGTACTTCGAGTTTGGAATCAGGCGGGTGTCAGCTGTCAGGCTTATCAGCCTTGGTGATGCAATGACGAATTGAGTGACGAAAATTTATTAAGATATTCTTTTTTAAAATGAAAAACTTGGTGCGTCATGCGACCAATTTCCAAATCAAAACAAAGTAAGCGCATAGAATTATCGTACAGCCAGTAATATTAAAATAATTTAACGGTGTTAGGTTATGCGGAACCCACCAAATATGGCGCAGCTAACCTCAATAATAAATTTACGTTTACGTTTTAAAATGATATGTTTTGTTGGCCCAGCAGTGCTTGTCGTCATGGGTGTCTGACAGGCGCTCCAAGGTTCAAAATCATGAAAGGTGGTGGAGGCTGTCCGTTTTATTTTCAGAATAGGTGAACTTTCTCCCAGTCTTTTGACCCGTGTAAACAATTAAAAATACAATAACTGAGCGTTTACGTTTAACTTTTATAGTGTACCTCTTTAGCGGATTGAGGTTTGTGTGTGCTCTCTCTGGTATGACAGTGGACTGGTGGTATGATTCGTGTGACTGATTTTGGCACCCTCCCAAATAAAATATCCTCTCTCTACAGAGAGAGAGTGTGTGTGTCAGAGAGAGAGAGAGTAGGACGTCACTGTCGTCACAAGAAGCTGGCAACAAGAGCTTCGATTGTTTTTTTTCAAATAAAATAAAATAAATACTTTAAAAAAAAATCATACAAAAGCCTTCTTGGAATCTGTGTATTTATAATTAAATAATTTAGAAGGCTATGAAAAAAATAGCTTTTGGAGTTTGGTCACAGGACTTCGGACTCAGCCGCAAGTATATAACCGATTACGCAAATCGTTGAGGACAACATCTGCATTCTACAACGCACAGCGTAGTATCGCGGCTGATTTAAAAACCAAGGGTTATCAAAGGGATAGTGGGTTACAGAAACAGAGTTTTCTTACCGCTGTCTTGACCTCTGCCGATCCGAACACTTCGATATCCCTTCAGAAATATACAGGCTTTACGCGAACAACACTGAGACTCTTTTTCATTTCAAACTTGACGATATGGTTTTTGGAAATGATTTAACCCGGGATAGTCCCGATATCGAGGTATGTATTTATTTACTATGTATATGAGACTGTATATATATATATATATATATATATATATATATATATATACATATATATATATACATATATATATATATATATATATATATATGTGTGTGTGTGTGTGTATGGACGTATTTGTACACACACACACACGCATACACACACTCACACACACACACACACTCACACACACACACACACTCACACACACACACACACCTATATATATATATATAGGTATACATGCATATATACTCATAGACCCACACACACACACTCACTCACTCACATATATATATATAAATATATATATATATATATATATATATATATATTTATACATTTATATGTTTGTCTTTAATATATATATATATATATATATAATGTATTTTCTGTCTCTAAACCTCTGCCTTGCACTGTCCTACTGTTGATACCACCATGTATTATAATACGCGATATAGTAACCATACATCGTATGACACAAGTCCTATCGCGAATTCGATTATCTCCTGGATATGTGTTCCGTGCCTGCGCATTATGGCGTGTTTGCATTCCTCCTCTGCCGTACTGACTTTAGTGATGACATATTGGATTCTTCACACATGTTATGGTGATCTTGTGCCCCGCCCATGACCATAGGTTCATGCGTTGTATCTGCCACTTCCATCCCACTCGCTGATGACAGGGTGTCATACTTGCCGATGTGTTGCCATTGATGCCTTCTCCCCATATACCTACATCGCTCAGGGCTTGCTCATGCTTAATCCGAGAGTGAAGAACCACGCCAATTTGGTGCCGACCAAGGTGACAAAGGGTGCACGAGCATACTGGAAGCGTAATGAGAAAGTGGGGTGTGGGGTATGTGCACTCACCTGTCCTACGTGTGTGTATGTCATAGGCCAGACATGCCGACGTGCGCATATTGCACGGACAAGACATGCGGAGATTAGTATCAATGCCAGACTGGCGCTTCACGTACCTCAGCAGACATGGGCTGGGGGGTAGAGTGTGTGAGTGTATGGACGTGTGTGCTGTGTGTATGGAATATGAAGAATATACACGCCATGCTCAGGGGTGTGTTGCATGCCAACATGCTCAATTGTGTTTGCATGTTTCAGGTAATACTTACTGTGGTACGTGCAGTGCTAAAACTAAACTGTCGCCCTTCCTCCCCCAATGGCAGACATGCAGCGATTTGACCAACAACTTTGACGACGCAAAGCATACCACACTGAGCGAGCGGGGTGCGCTGAAGGAGTCTCTCCGGTATGTGTGCAAGGGACGAGGGTACGGTTGCTGATGAGCTTAGCAGATGATAGTAGGATGTGTATTGTTTGGATGTGCAGGACGTGTTTAGAGGCGGGTACAGAGGTGTGGCTCAATACTCATAGGCATATAGTCAACATGTATATACAAATTAGTTCAAGTAGATACATTTACTTATATTGACGTATGTATATGTCATATTGCTCAAATGTTTGTTCCGTTGTGTACACCGACACCGTTTACACCTTGTCCTGTGGCACAGCAAACATTCAGCAGATTGCTACGGAGATCACTGCTTTGCATGTATAATATCTGCCTATCTTCTATCCGTAAAACCCCCGCAGATGTGGGGATGTTTTGTTTTTGAAGCATTTCTACCCTCATATACACCCGCAGATGTATTAATAGTGTCCTAAGCTTCACCACCCACACCTACTTCACCAGCGACCCGTCACTGTCATCTCATGCACGTTTATGCCTGCCCCTCCATCCCCCCCACAGCTGTCTCAAGTGTGCTGATGCGCCCTGCCAGAAGAGCTGTCCCACTCAGTTGGATGTCAAGCAGTTCATCAGTATGATCTCCACACGCAACTTCTACGGCTCTGCGCGGGAGATTCTGTCGGACAATCCCCTGGGACTAACATGCGGTGAGCAGTATATAAGTCGTCACGTGCGCCGTTGGTGGAGTCTTTACTTGTTTGATAGACTGGTTATATATATATATATATATATGTATATATATATATGTATATATATATATATATATATATTATACACTCGCACAAACACACACACGCACACATATTATATATACATATAGAATGTATATATATACATATACGTACTATATATACATATATATATATATACGTATTATGTATATATATATTTATATTTATATTTATACATATATATTTGTATATATGTATATATATATATATATATATTAGCGCCGTTATCTTTACACAGCTGTATCTGACACCGCATTCCCCATACCTTGTATTTCATTATAAACTGATACCCACAGGCATGGTGTGTCCCACATCTGATCTGTGTGTGGGTGGCTGTAACCTGGATGGTACTGAGGAGGGTCCTATCAACATCGGCGGATTGCAGCAGTTCGCTGTGGAGGCCTTCAAGGCCATGAACCTGGTGCAGGTGCGTCATCCAAAATACATCTCATTGAACACCCGTCTTTACCACCATCAAGCCCGCCAAATCCAAAAAATACACCTTTTAAAGCCCCTCCACAACCTTCTCACCTCCTCCCCCCCCAACTCTCTCCCCTTCCCACCTCCTCACTGCATGTATCACACTCTGTCCCGTGCAGATACGTGATCCGGCTCTGCCGCCTCTCTCTGAGCTGCCTGATAGTTTCCAGTGTAAGATTGCGTTGATTGGCTGTGGCCCTGCGTCCGTTTCCTGTGGCACGTTCCTGGCACGGTTGGGCTATTCCAGCATCACCATCTTTGAGAAGCAGGAGGGTACGTGCATGAGTTATCTCGTTAAGTGGGTTGGGATGTAGTAGGTACTTGTATCTATATGTCGTTGTTGGCCGTGTGTCTCTGTGGGTGTGGACGTAGGTAAGCCTTACCCCTCGACGGGCAGTACTTATAGTACTACTGATATACTATAGCACTAGTTGTAGGTACTAGTTACACGCGGGCAGCTGTACACGTGGCACGCACAGAGGGCAAAGTGGAGGCCTGAAGCACCCACGCGTACACGACCGTATTCAACGGCCGCTGACTGTGTTCGCAATCCTTGGTATCTATTTGCACACATGTACCATAAACCCTAACACTCACCCAATGCACGTGCTCCTCACAGACTACTCGGGAGGGCTGTCTGCATCGGAAATTCCTGAGTTCCGATTGCCGTACGATGTGGTGCAGTGGGAGATCCAACTGATGCTCGATCTGGGGGTCAAGATCGAGTACGGCAAGGCCCTGGGTGTGGATTTCTCCATCAAATCATTGAAGGAGGAGGTATACATACATACATACATACATACACGCACGCACACACACACACATACATACACACACACACACACATATATATATATATATATATATATATGAATGTAAATGCGCATGTTAGTATGCTAGTATGTGTGCTGTATCGCCACATATGTGGGGTGTCTGCGTGCGCACGTCCTGGCGCTACCAGTTGGTGTAGTGTCTAAGGCGGTGGGGTATCCCATCCCATTCCCTAGTTCAGGCTGGTCTGTGTATCTAGATTGATGAGGCGTGTATGCTTGTGCCGGATTTATAATTATATTATTGTAGTTGATTGCAATGTAATGTTGTAGTTATGTGTAGGTGTATGTACATGTCTGTATACTTGTTTGTTCCATGTCTGTGCATACGGATCCTTACAGGTGTATATATGTGCCCGCTTGTATATGTACAGGCTATTATCTGCTTATGTACTTGTGCGTGTGCGTGTGCGTGTGCGCATGCTTATAGTAAGGTATTTATGTGTGGATAACACTACGCAGGCCGACTCAGGCGATCATTCACGCGCTTTATACATAAATACATATACATGAATATACATATACACATACATACATACATACATACATACCTAAATATATATGAATATATATATACGTGCCCACAGTCGCACTCGTAGTATCATGCATGAGTATGAATGGAGATGTGGCTATGCCGCTATACTCTCCCATCAAAACTTCCAACGTCTCTACAGACGTCTGCGCATTGTCCTTCCTGATTTGCCCTGACGGTCCCATTTCCAGGACTACGAAGGTATCTTTTTGGGGTGCGGAATGCCCCAGCCCAAAACCATCGCAGCGTTCCAAGGCCTGACTGAGGAGCAGGGGTACTTCAACAGTAAGACGTTCCTCCCACGTGTGTCTGCTGCGAGTAAGGTGCGTATGTCTCTGCACAGGAGGCTACGGTGTGACGATGTGGTATACGTGTGTGCCTTTGTGTGTATGCTGGCTGTGAGTATTTGTTATAATCTTCAAACTCTTGTCTTGTCTTTCATCTGCTTGATATACACCCGCACTCATGGCGTAGGCTTGTGTATTAAGGTAGGCGTTTAATAAGGTAGACGTGCGTGTAGCGGTGTGCTTGTACCATCACGTGTGTGTATGCGTGTTAACGTATACACATACACAGTCGCAGAATGGCTAGTATCGTCGGCTGATGAATCTCTGGTCACCTCAACGAATTGCTGCGGTATCTCAGCAGTGTGATTGTCGTAGTTGAAAGGGTTTTTAGGGTTTTGCTAAACCCTAGACACACTCGCACCCACACACGCACACAGACAGTGACACCCACCCACGCACCCCCCTCCCCCCTCCCCTCCCACACACGTGTGGGTGCGCTATGTCGTGTCCCCACTCGTTTCGTTCAAACTCTCACGTCACCGTTGTAACGCATTGCACAGCCTGGCATGTGCGGCTGCAAGAAGACAGCCCTTCCGCAACTCGGCGGCAACGTCATCGTCTTAGGCGCAGGCGACACAGCCATGGACTGCGCCACATCTGCGCTGCGGTGTGGTGCAAAGCGCGTCTTCATCGTGTTCCGAAAGGTATATGTTTATAGATATATATATGTGTGTGTGTATGTATGTATGTATGTATGTATGTATGTATATATGTATGTAGTATATATATACATGTATGTATATACGTATATATGTAGTATATATATATATATGTTTCAGTACGTACATGTTGTTTATTGCATGTTTATCTCTGCCGTATATACGGATGGAATGCATCTAAAAATGCGTGCTGCATGCCACTCTTCATAGTATTGACGCAACACCCCCCACTACCCACATGGCACTGTCCCCACAATACATCCCTTTTATCATCGAGTTAACGCAATACATCCCACTACTCACAGCGTGTAAACAACAAGTCCCTTTAATCCATAACGTTTACGCAATACTTATCTTACCTACCCACCTACCTATCCCGCAGGGCTTCCGTAACGTTCGGGCTGTGCCTGAGGAGATGGAATTGGCCAAGAAGGAACAGTGTGAGTTCATTCCCTTCGCCAGTCCAAATAAGGTCATCACCGCAAAGAACGGCAGAATTTCTGGCCTCGAGCTGTTCCGCACAGAGCAGGACGACGACGGCAATTGGGTGTGTAATGATGAGTTCTAGGGTTTTAGAGTTTTATAGTTATACAGAATATGTGTATATGTATGGGTAAGGGTACGAGTACGGAGAGTAAGTATAAGTGTACGTGTACGTGTTGGTGCGCAAGTATAAGTATAAATATGGGTATAAGTATATGTGTATGTGTAAGTATAAGTGTAAGTGTCTGCTATTGGTCGCTGGATACATACTCTCCTGACGTGGTGTTTCTGATACTAGTAGTACTCTACACGCCTCTTGTCTATTGTGGTACCTGTAGTCATACTGGTTGGCTTTGGAGTGCGTGTGAGATGTCCATATCTTTTGAGTGTAGTTGTTGCATGTGGGCTAGGGTTTAGGTTTAGGGTTTAACCCTAAAGTCTTAAACCCTAAACCCAAAAAAATGAATTAGAACTAACGATCTGTACCAAATACACCGCTGCAGATTGAAGACGAAGATCAAGCGATGCGACTCAAGTGCAACTACATCATCTCCGCATTCGGTTCGACTCTCGAGGATAAGGTACGATCTATGGACGGATAGTGTCTTTATATATACATCTTTAAATATATATATTATATATATATATATATATATATATATATATATATATATATATATATATATATATATATATATAGATAAATATAGATATAGATATAGATATAGATATAGATATAGATTTATATACATATAGATATATATATTTACAATACATATAGCTATTTATATCTCAAGGAAGCCAAGTATCACATACATCATATCTCACGCAATCTCTGACGACTCTCTCAGGACATGATCAGTGCCATGGCTCCCATTCGCATGAACAAGTGGGGTACTCCAGACGTCAACGCAGACACAATGGCGACATCTGCAGAGGGCGTCTACGCAGGTGGAGACATCGCAGGCATTGCCCAGACAACTGTCGAGTCCGTGAACGACGGGAAGATAGTAGGTCTTATGTTTACTGCCTATGTGCATGTGTGTGTGC